GGCCAATTTGAACCATAATCTAAGGAATACATAGGCCAAGTTTTATTACAGAGGCGTATGAGCTTAGAGGCCTTTGAGTCAGATTCCATGTGGAGGGTTTCTCCAGAAGACATCCCAGTGGGGATGCTGGAGGAATGGATGAATGGGCAGTTCCCATTGGGAGGGTAAGAGTCAGTGACCTGCCAGAGGTGTCCAAAAGGCAAGGTTTGATTCAGTAGAGTAGTATGACCCTACCTGATCCAACAGCTCATCAGGGTTGACCACAGACGAAGGGCACATAGGAGACATGGTTTACCTAGCATTAGGATTTTTGTAGATAAGCAAGCGGGGGCGGGGTGTGGGTGTGTGTGAACCATGCAAGTAGAAGGGGAAAAAAAAATCTGACCCAAGGGAAAGAGGAAGTCCTAAATGGAGGTCAGCAAAAAGGGTCAACTGCGGACAGTGAAGACCGTGGTTGGGGTTCCTCTGTCTCAAAAGGTACTAGGAAGTTGCCGGATGCTCAACAGTCAATCTTCCCCTACCAAGAGAGGTGTTTATGCTGACCAATGAGGGGAACTCACCAATCCATCCGGTGCTGCATGTAGGAAATAGTGATCTGGTTGCTGGAAAGTGGGTCGTGGGCGGATTTGAAATGAAATAGGTTTCCAGCAGCTCCAGTGGGGTGCTGGCGCCAAAGCAACCACCACACAGCGTGGCTGCTGAAAGCCAATGCACCCATGTTAGGACTGTGCAGGAAAGTTACACAGCAGGTTCACAAATCATGCCACACGACTGGTTCCACATGGGAGGTTTATTAAGGGAAGGGGGAAGGGGTCACAGAGACTGTCTCTGGGTAGGGAGAGGGAGAGAGGCAGAGAGAGGAGGTGGTGTGAGTTCTCTTATAAGGTGATTCAAAGCATGCAGGTGGTTTCAGGTGGTCCATGGGTGGTACGTAGGTCACCTTCAGGATGCATGATATCTGGTTTGTCAGGTTTTTTGGGGCTGGCTGTAGACATGCCTGCTTATGGATCCCAACACCCTGTACAACAAATAAATCCTCTCCAAGTTGCATTTGGTCAGTGTTTTATTTATTAGGTTTTTTTTTCTTTTGAGACAGTACCTTACTGTGTTTGACTTCATTTAGAAGGACATTTTGTGTGTCTGTGTGCACTCATTGGAAGAGGTTATGCTGTAAATATGAATTATGCAAAACAACCAGCAGATCCAATGCAATCTCTTGAAAAATTCTTGCTGGGCAGTGGTGGTGCACAGCTTTAATACTAGCACTCAGGAGGCACAGGCAAAGGCAGGCGAGCTCTGTGAATTTGAGGCCAGCTTGGTCTACAAAGCTAGATCCTGGACAGCCAAGGCTACACAGAGAAATCCTGTCTTGAGAAACCAAAAATCAGCAGGAGAATCCCCAGTTTGAGGCCAACTTTGGCTATACAGACACTGTCTCAGGTTACCCAACTGAGCTGTCTAACGCTTCTCACTTTTAAAAAGGGGAAATCTAAAAACAAAAAAAGAGAGTCCTAAAATTTGTAGAACGACTAAAATTGTAGTCCTAAAAACAAAAGATCCCCAAATAATACAAAGCTATGGTAATCAAAACAGCATGATCATGGCATAAAAACAGACTTATAGACCTATAAAACAAACATATAGATCAATGGAAGAGGACAAAGAGAGCAGAAATAAATCCACTTATGATAAACTTATTATTCAGAAAAACCCTGGGAAAAAATGAATGTTGTTCAATGAATGTTATGGGAAACTGAATACCCATTTGTACAGGAATAAAATTAGACCCCCATCTTACACTGTATTAAAATAAACTCAAAATGAATTAAATATTTAAATCTAATGCCTGAAAATGCAAATTATTAGAAGAAAACACAAGCAAAAACAAAACAAAACAACAACAACAACAAAAACAAACAACCTCATGACGTTGGCCTGGGCAGTGACTTTTATTTTCTGTATAACCCAAAAGCTTAAGAGAGAAAAGCAGAACAGACAAATAGGATTATATCAAAATATAGTGCTTCGGAAAGCTAGAAAAACAACACTGAAGAGACAAACACACTGGTAGAGAATATTTACCAACCAAACATCTGGTAAGGTGCCATTATCCAATGCATATAAGGAACTCAATAGTGCAAAACGATAACTAAGTTATCAACTGAAAAAAGGGTTAGCAAAAGCAAACACCCCAACACACACACACACACACACACACACACACACACACACACGTCACTAGCTCTTAGAAAAATGTAAGTTAAAACCACACAGAGATATCATAGCCTCACATTGGTCTGAATGGCTATTATTATAAACAAGTGTTGACAGAGGAATGGAAGAAAAGGGCACTCATGCATCTTGTTAGTGGGAAAAGATATTGGTGAAGCCATTATGGAAAACAGTATACAAGTTCTTCCAAAAAAAAAAAAATTCCACATGATTCAGAGATCGTACTTTAGTGTATACATAGAAATGAGTGTGTTGAAGAGATCGCTGCATGCAGCCCTGTATTCACTGTGGAATCATACAGGAAGGTCAAGTCGCATAATTAACCCAAGTACACATCGCTGAAGGAATGGGTAAGGAAAAGCGTGGTCTGTCTGCAGAGCACAATACAATTCATCTTCAAAAAGGAAGAAAACGATAGGTTAGAATGACCACCCAGGCCCTGCGTTTGATCCCCAGAACGCACGTGAAAAGCCAGGTGCGGTGGAAATGAAAACAGGTCCCTGGGGCTCTCTAGCCAGCTAGCATAGTCTACCTGGTGAGCTCCAGGCCAATGGGAGGCCGTGTCTCAAAAAACGAGGCCTATGGCGAACCGAGGAACAACATCTGAGGCTGACCTGTGGCCTTCATGAGAACTGGCCCACAGGTGTGCATCCTCCACACGTGACTTTGAACATACAATAAGCACCAAGTAAAAAAAAAAAAAAAAAAAAAAGTAAAGGCCCTTCGTGGCAGCACGGTGTTAATGGAAACAAGCCAGAAAGAGACCCTGCAGTATCTCATGGGTAGATTTTTTTAAAAGGTTAAGCTTGGGGGGGGGGGGAAAAAGAGAGTAGAATGGTGGTTGTTGGGGGGTGGGGAGCAGAGACAAGAGTTAAAAAAAAAATTCCGAACAGAAACTGAATGCTCAGAAAGTGATGGGAGACTGGCAAGCACACCCCGGGGATTTGATACGGGGTTCCCATTGGTCAGATTAGGGGCAATTTCACGAAGCTGAAGAGTGGCAATGCTGAATCAGGACTGCGACTGAAAGGAAAAGTCGACGTTGATTCTGAGCAACATAAAGAGAGGAAAAGGCTATGGATTTTTAGTAAAGCGTGCTCGCAAAGTACAGAACGTGTGAGATGAGTACCATAGGACAGCCCACGCAGCAATAATCAGACGTGCTGGGATGGAAGTTCTGGGAGAGAATAGTCACAGGCATGCACAAATGTCACAGCTTCATCATTAGCAGAGTACCTACCCACAGCATGGATTGCGTGCCCAGGTACTGACTCAGAAAACGTTAGCTGAGCTGAAGAGATGGCTCAATGTTGAGAGCACACCCTGCTTTGGCAGAGGATCTAAATTTTCTCACACCTACATTTGGGGGCTCACTACCTCCCATAACTGCAACTTCAGAGGGAACGGAATCCTCTGGTCTTCCTGGGCACCCACACAGCCCCCTAAATCTTGTAAAAAGGGTTAGTTGAGCTGGGTGCGGTGCCGCGCGCTTTTAGCAGGACAGCTCAGGGGGGTAGAGGCAGGCAGATCGCTGCGAGTTCTAGGCCAGTCTAGTCTACAAAGCGACTCCAGGACAGCCAAAGGGAACAGGCATTTTTTTTTTTTTTTAAACTACACAGGCAGTCTCTTTTATATCTTGCTATCCTCTCGGCTGGGTCTTCTATTGTGTTCTGTTGGACTATTTTATAATTTCTTGTGCATTTATGGGATATCAGCGTCTGTTGGACTAATTTAAGAAAGATTTTTATTTTGTTGTAGTTTTTTTTTTTTTTTTTTTAAAGATGCTTGTGCATGGCTATGGACCGAGGAACAAATTATTAGCAGAGGTTTGGGTGAGGAGACGTTGTAAGCCCCCAGGGATAAGAGTGAGGAAGGCAGGCCCAGACATGCAGGTAGGTGTGTGGTGGACGGAGGTGCTTAGGTTAAGGATTGCACACACGGTGTCCAGGAGCGGACAGCGGCACAGCAGTCATGAAGAGCGAAGAAGGGCAGAGGGCGCTGAGGACAAGATGCACGGGTCAGTTAAGGAGGCTGGCCAGGAGTGGCAGCGTCCCCTAGCCTCAGGTGCGTTGAAAAAGACCAAAGCTGGGTGGGAAACGCCGACATTCTCGAGGAAAAGCATCCACAGAATTGCCATAAGATCCCTTCCAGTGCTTCCCGGCGAAGCCCCACGTTTCCAGCGAGCGGGTTTCGGCGTGTTTTCTACTCTCAATTGCACAGCCCCCTGAGCAGGGCAGAAACAACGCGTCACGTTAACACCGCGCTGAGCAGGTCAGGGCTTGGTGCGTTTTATCTGCAACACAAACACCGCCACGCGGTTGGTTTTAGCGGGGTCCTGAGAATACCCTGAGAGCTGTCCGCTTTGTCCGCTCCGGGTCACACAGGTGGACGCCGGTACGAGAGAGCTCGGAAAACAGTCCCACATTTTGAGCGCTCACAGCGTTGGACACGTGCGGTAACCGCAGTCCGGCTGGCTGGCGTCCGGCTGCACAGCGCGCCACCCTGTGACCCGCACGCGTGACACTCACGCGCGCCATCGTGCCGCCTCCCCCATCCCTCGGGAAGGCCGAGGCAGCCTTCAGTCCGAGGAGCGCAGGACGGACGATACTCTCTGGGTTGGATTCTCTCTGCCTGAACATCTGATCGGAAGGTCGGGAGGGCGGGGAGCAGTGGGCGGGGCCGGCCCTCGGGACCTGTTGCTGATTGGTTGAGAGGGGACCGGGCGGAGCCTTGAGGTGGTGGGCGGAAGCGAGAAGCCGCAGCTACCGCGTAAGCCTGTGGGCTGCTCGGCGCAACCGCGGGTCGCCTGAGCGAGCCGGCGCTGCGTTTGGCGTCGGCTTCCGGGCCGAGCCGGGTGAAGAGGAGGTCGGGGTGGCGGGAGGCGAAGGTAACGGAGGTCGGCGTGGCGTGGGCCGGCGGGGCGCACGGCGGGAGGGGAGCACGGCGGGAGGGAGGGCGGGCGAGGGCCTGAGCGCTCTGCGGCCGACGCTCTGCCGGAGAGCGGGGAGGCGGGACGGGAGCCGGCGGCCGACCTCCTTCCTCGTCAGGCTGGAGGTTCGCGTGCCCCCCTGTTTTCTTAGTGCCCGAACTGTTGCGGAGGTGGACCTGGTCATCTCTTCCCCTCCGCGGGTGAGCCCGGGCTCGGAGGTGCAGACCCAGGCTGGGGGAGAAAGTTCCCACCCGCAAGAACCCGCTCCGAGCTCGCGTGTGTCCATCAGCCGTTTGCGGCTTTTCACTTCAGCTTAGTCTTTTTTTTTTTTTTTTTACTTGATTTCCGACCGAGACGTTTCCCCCCCGCACCCAGGAAGTTCCCAAGAAAGAATAAAAATGAAACTTGACGGATTCATTTAGGAATTTAGGGTCTTCTGCTCCATTTAGGCTCTTAAGGCATTCAGGGCACGTGCAAATCCTGAAGGAAGCAGGTTGTTGGCTGTGTATTTTGTGTGTGTGATGTGTTAAACGATCAAGGGTTGATTCATTCGGCGCGTCTGGTGTTGACACTAGAGCTCGGCGCCCAGCAGATCTTACCGTCTCCCTTCCCATTTATTTGAATCTCTTCCTGCCTCTCCAGGACTCCCGTTCTGTCCCTTCCTCCTTTCCTCAGAGAGGGGGGTGGGAGGGAGCGGAGAGGTTGTCTCAGTTTCTTTCTCTTAGGTCCAGGCTTGTGACAAAGGTTAACTTTTTCTGAGAAGGCAAGACTAATTGCCTGAGCCGCCCCCCAACCCTTTCTGGAAAAGTTGCAGGGATCACACAGTGGTTTTCGTTTACTGTATCTGTTGTGCACGGGTTAAAACAAAACAAAAAAACCCCAACCCATTCTTGAAACTAACGTTACTTTTATTCAGCTGTCCTTCATTAATAGATAAAAGTTTGAAAGTTGTATTTAAGAAAAAAAAAAAAAAGAAACCGACCCTAGGAAATGACTAGACTGACATTTGGGATTTTCACCCAAAATATTCATTTGAACTGATAAATCAAGTCATTTTCTACATTTTAGTATCAGATTTATTTTCTGATTTGCTTTACCAAGCTACTTATTGCAAGTCTCCATATATTGTGCTAGCTTTTTGGGATAAAAAGATACAGTTGGTGACACTGTAGAAGTTGTTGGGTAAGTAGGTTAATATTTCTAATTATGTATGTAGAAGAGCCAGCAATTATGCTGCTAAGAATCGGTTGTAATTATTTTGGATGCTGGTGTCATTATTAATTCTATATGGTTTTATTTGTGTTTTGGAGACTGCATTTACTGTGTGTTTTCATGGTAATTTTTAAACTTCCTATGTCCGAAGCTTAATGAAAGTTCTGGTTATAGAAGATCTTTAGAAGTGATCCCTAAAGATCTTTAGAAAACTCCCTAGGTGGATTGGTTGCTGGGCTTTTGTTGATACTTTTGTGGAAGTAGAATAGGTTTTGTTTATTGCCCTTACATCTTTGTTTTCTCTGGTGGTCTTTAAGACCAAACCAAACCAAACCAAACCATGAGTTTTTACTTGATCAGTCACCATCTTAAGCTTTTATGCTGGAGCATCAATGATCATGATAGTTGTATGTCAACTTGACACAAGCTAGAGTCTTCAGAGAGGAGGGAGCCTCAGTTGAGAAAATGCCTTCATAATATGGGCTGTAAACAAGCTTGTAGGAAAGTTTTTTTAAATTAGTGACTGATGGAGGAGGGCCCAGCCCATTGTTGGTGGTACCATCCCTGGGCTGGTGATCCTGGGTTCAAGAAGAAGTCCAAGCAAGCCATGATGAGCAGGCCAGTAAGCAGCACTGTTCCATGGCCTCTGCCTCAGCTCCTGCCTCCAGGTTCCTTCCTTGCTTTAGTTCCTATTCTGACCACCTTTGATGATAACCAATGATTTGGAAGTATAAACCAAAAAACCCCTTTCTTTCCAAAGTTACTTTGACCATGATGTTTCCTCACAGCAGTAGTAACCCTAAGAGTAACCTTCATGTGATGCCAGAGGTCCTCCTTCCCTGTCTTTCTTCTTTCCCTTCCTCTTTTCCCCTATTCCATTGCTTTTCTCTTCTCCTTTTTTCCAATATGCACCCGTTGCCAAAATTCCATCCATGCCAGTAGTTTCATTTCTGCTTTAATTTACTAACCAGTGACATTACTAATCTGGGAAAATCTCAAGCATTAAGATAATACAGTTGACTAGAATTGGAAGTCTGTGAAGAGCTATAATTTTTTTTTTTTTTTTGAGAGAGAAGACTGTCAGAATTTTGTGGTAGACTTAAGAGTATAGTTACAAAGTCTACTATTGTCACTGACCCACCCAAAGACAATTGCTTTAGGTTCAGTGACCTCAGTTGCCTAACTGCCAAACATAGTAATAAGGTTTGCTTATGTGACTTCAGGAGTGTTGTGAAAGCAAATTGAACTGATAGGTGTGATTTTTAAGGAAAAAAAAAAAAAACAAAAAAAACCAAAAACCTTTCATAGAAGATTGCCTCTCTTTTTAATAAAAAGTATAGATAGATTACAAACTGTAGCATCCTAATGAGTAACTCAGCAGAGGTACTTCTTTTTAAACTTTCAGTCTAAGAGGGAAAGAGCTTTTATTTGGTGACTAGACTTACTGCTTTGACCAGTTACGCTTTCTTGGTTACTTATAAACAAAAATACCTTTTAAGAAGGTCATTATCTTAATATCCTATGAGGTTAGGCTATTTTACTTACATATCTTTTCTTGAGATATGTAAGTAAAATAAAGCTGAGTAGTTTATGTTATGTACAGTCAGTTTCCTCTGTAACTTTAAAAAGCTATTAAATATTTTTCTTTTTGGAAAAACTTTGGCTACATATATATAAAGGGAAAATTTTTGTCTGCTCTAATTTATGCCTTACTTGAAAATTTTTAATTAACTTTAATTGTAAAGATGATAAGAACAGTAATATTTAAAATTAGTGTCAGCATGGTGGCATATGCCTTTAATTCCAGCATTTGGGAGGCAGAGGCAGGCAAATCTTTGTGAGTTTGAGGCCAGCCTGGTTTACAGGACAGCCAGGGCTCTCTTACACAGAGAAACCCTGTTTTGAACCCTCCCTCCCCGCAAAAAAAAAAATTAAAATTAGCCCAGCCATGTAACCATGGTTTTAAGTATTGAGGCTCTTTTCATCTAGACAGCAGTGTTTTTTTTTTTTTTTTTTTTTTTTTTAAGCCTGAATTAGATTATTTGAAAATAGGTTTCCTTACTCTCTGGTGTTTATTGATAAGAAATGTCACACAGTGGGGCTGTCAGGATATATCTGTTTTTCAGGTGGTTTCTAAAGACCCGCTTTGATTTGTACTCCTTTTCTTTCCAGACTCATGAAATGGCCACAGATGATAAGAGTTCCCCGACACTGGACTCTGCTAATGATTTGCCTCGCTCTCCCACCAGTCCTTCTCATCTCACTCACTTTAAACCGCTGACTCCTGACCAGGATGAACCTGCCTTCAAGTCAGCATATAGTTCTTTTGTAAATCTTTTTCGTTTTAACAAAGGTAAGATTTATTTCTAAAACTCAGGAAGTGCAGTTTTGATTCTCTGCATTCGCTCCTGTGCTGTCATGCTGCGTGGTTGTAAAGAAGTGAAATATTAACAAGGAGGCAGCCTTAACCTCAGGCCCTAAGTCTTTCTGTCTAAGGAGGAAACGGTAGCATTCACTGTAATCTGATTAAGTATTTGTGTGAACTAAATGTAAAGTGGTTAAGGGGTCCTTTTTAAAGAGAAACATTTTATTTCCACACATTTTCTATTAATGTGCTTCAACTTGATCAAGCTTACAAAATAAAACTTATTTTGAGGGAGGTTTTAGAACAAAATTAATTAAAGCAATAAAATTAAACAAAGCAGTACATGGTTTATATATTTAAAAACTTAGAAGGTTTCAGCAGGCATGTTGAAATTTATACTCATTGGATTGAGTTGTAAATAGTATCAAATGAATGAACGGATAATTTAAAAATAAGTCCTTGAATACTTTGTTATTTGTTTTTTTAACCAGAATTTTAAAAAGGTCGTATCTTGTTCTTAATTTGCCTTTTTGTTTGTTTGTTTGTTTTTTAGACAAGAGTCTATTCATTTTTTTAGCCTAGGCTAACCTGAAAACACTGTTGTAGCCTTGGACATGAGACCATCTTCCTGGATTAGTCTCCTGAGAGCTAGGATTATAGACATGATTATATGCCTGATTCATTTGTCTTTATTGTTTGAAGTGTATTAGAAGATATTTCCTGGTTTTAGGACTTTGATGGGATTCGATAGTTTCACTCAGTAGAATTTTTCTTTTTTCTATTTCTTTTTCTTTTCTTTTTTTTTTTTTTTTGAGATAGGTTCTTACTTTATAGCTCTGGAACTTTCATATAAACTTGCTGTGTGAACTGGCCTCAAACTCACAGAAGTGTGCTTGCCTCTCCCTTTTTAGTGCTGGGATTAAAGGTGTGCCACCATACCTGGCCTTAAGTAGAAAATTTTAATAGTACTAGCTGAATTTTATTAACAGTTTTGTTATCCAAGATAGCATTTTAAATTTAGTTGTCATAGGCAATAAATAGTCGTTATTTATTTAGGAAGGTTTAATAAGCACCTGCTATGCTGGGTACTGTTGGGGTAACACAAAGAGATCTCTCCCATAAACTGATTAAGAAGGTCAAGATTTTGTGTGAGGTTGGCATTGTGTTTCCTTTGATGTGTTCACAAAGTTTCCAAATGTATACTGTTGGAAGGAAATTTTATTCTGGATTTTAACTTTTTCTTTAAAATATTTAAAAATTTAAAAAAGATTTATTTTTATACTTAGCTATGTGTATGTACGTGTTTTATGTGTGAGTGCCTGAGGAGGTGAGAAGATGGTTAGAGTTACAGGTGGCTATGAGCTGCCTGACATGGATGTTGGGAACTGAACTAGGATACTTTGCAAGAGCAGTGTGCACTCAGCTATGAATATGATACATCAACATCATGTCTGAAGCATTTTGTCTGTCGCCTTCTTTTGAAATGCTGAGCCTTAGATTTTCAAGTAATACCAAGTTTCCTTTGACACAGAGAGAGGAGAAGGGGCCCAAGGAGAGCACCAGTCTCCAAGTGCAAGTTGGTCCAGCCCTCAGATCTCGTCAAGGACACAGTCTGTGAGGTCACCCCTACCTTATAAAAAGCAGCTTAATGAGGAGCTTCAGCGGCGCTCTTCAGTGTTAGGTAAAACAGCTCTCCTATTCCTCTTTGTGTGTGAATTTTCATCACTGTGTGTTCTAGGTTATATATTGACTTAGTGTTTCTGTTACTTGGACAGTCAAGTATTCTTTAGAATAAATAAAACTTACTTAGGTGATAAAAGAATTTTTCAACACCTGAAACATTCTTCATCGTGTCATTAAACTTTGATTATACAAACACTGATGTCTTGACAGAATTTTGATTAATTACTTGTTTGGATTTCAGCAGAGAACACTTTGCCACATCCTCAGGAGAGTACAGGTTAGTTCCAACTTTACAGGTGGACTTTGCACCTATTCTTGGGAGGCTAATGAAGGGCGATGTGCATGCATGCCACTCGCTGCAGAACACTGTCAAACTCTATGGATGGGCTGCTGATTGCGCTTGGCCTCTGTCTTTGTTGGGCTACAAACTGTCAGTGTGGCTGGATACACTGCTCCTCTTGCCTGCTTGTTTTCCATCATGTTCCACTACATAGTCACCGCGTTCATTTTCATGCTTTTCTGATGGATGTGGCCTGGGAATCAGTGTCTCAGTTGAGGGGCTAGTGGTGGTTTATGTTTTATTTCTATTAGACTGTCAAACTCATTGAAGTGGTTTGCCTAACTCCAGGTGATAGAAAGGACAGTGGCAATGATTCCATAGAGAAGAAGTTGCAGCAGTGGGAATCAAGTGTCCCTGAATTCCATGTCTGTCCTATCTAGCCCCTCACTTCCATGAGATGCTTGAGTGGACAATAGTTGTATAATGGTAGTTGGAAGAAGGCTATTTTATTGCTTGTTGAGACTTTTGTTACTGAAAGAAGGAGGAAGAAGTAGGTAGAAGAGGCTTTTTTTGCTGAAGGACTAGAAGAGCTGGCTGTGTCACCCCACACCTTAGCCACCTTAGCAGCCAGCTCAGCCCAGGTCAGATCATTTTGAAAGGAAGAGTTGGGAAGCAGAAGATTTTCATTTGATACCAGATTATCCAAGCTTAACCTTAACTTTATTAAACTTTTCTTAGTTCTTAAACTTGACCCATGGCTTAGGAGGATGATGCTGGAGGATTGGAAGTTCAAAGCCAGCCAGGAAACATTATCAGGTTCCAGGCTAGGTTAGGCTACACAGTGATACCCTATCTTGCACCTATGGAGGCAGAGGAAGGAAGATCTCTGTGAGTTTGAGGCCAGCCTGATCTATAAAGTGAGTCCAGGACAGTCAAGGCTACACAGAGAAACACGGTTGTAAAAAAAAAAAAAAAAAATCATTCACATCACAGCCCCAAAACCTGTCCCTCGGCAACACTGTGCTATATTTGAGGGTGCTCTTCTGACAAAATCCTGTGCTGAATTCATATAGTATTGCCTGAAAGCTTTCATTTATTTTCTTTTCCTTGTTAAACTCAGCACTTAGCTTTTCACATAATGCCAAGCTATCCTTTGCTACAGAGGGAGGAAGAATGGGCCAAAGAGCAGTCTGCATTTCTTTACTTGTAAAATTGAGGACTTGGACTAAATTCTAGTCTGGTAGGGGTTGCAGAGTTGTAGCTTGCCAAAATTTGCTTTTTGTTGCTATGATAAATTTGAACTACTTATCCATAGGCAGAGCTTGGATTTTCTCCTTCACTGTGGTTCCTGCATTCCTTCCTGTCTATCAGTTGTGCTTGGAGGATTTTACCTTGGAGACCTTTGAACCTCAGAAGCTTGGGATTGCTTATTCAGATACATTTTCCCTCACTAAGCATCTGCAATTCCACAGTTTGGTGGTTCTCCTATCTTAGGGAAGTTACTTGATTTTCTGCATCTATTTTGCAGAAATGATAGTTGATGTTATGTGTAGAAGGGCAGCTATCTCTTTCTTTCACTGAGGTCAGGCAGGGTCTCACTGTTCACACTTTTCCTGTGGAGGAGGATATTGATATCCTTCTCTTCCAGGTGGCTAAATGCTGTGCCAGGGAGCACTGCCATTATGATTCTTACAGTTTTGTGTCTTTTAGGATTTATAATCATGGAGTCTATATTTTAATATTGTGAGACTCAAGAAAAAATTAATTGTTGTAATACATGTTAGTAAGAGCATATCTGAGATATTTGCTGCAGTTAAGATAGGTGCAGTTTAGATGAGGTGTTATTTTAGTGATTAAACTGCCTTATGAAATTTTGATGCATTTGGATTTATACATTGCTCATTCTTTGCAATTCCTGTTTTCTCCCCGCCTAACCAAACCAAAAAACCTACGAGAAAACTGGCAAATAGTGAGATAGAGTTGGTAATATTTTTCATTTTATAGTAATTTTGGTTTTCTATAAGACATATCTTCTAGATCCCCAAGTAGATGACTAAAGCCATAGGCAGTTTCAAAGTCATAATATACAGTGCTTTTTTACTGTGCATTGAAACTTACGATAAAGTTTAATTTATAAATTATACCAAGGGATTAATAACAGTAATGCTAAACTAGCACAGTTGCAACAGTATACAAAAGTCATGTGAATGTGATCTGTTAATATGTGAATGTTAATATTTCAGACTATGTTACTGAGGATAACTGAAACCATGGAATGTAAAAATGAGAGATAGGGAGGAATTATGGATTCTACAGGTTGTTAGGTTACTGTGTTAAACTAATAAGGAGAGGTTTTTTTTTTTTTTTTTTTTGTCAAGCCACCTTCATTTTCCCCTGAGATTTTGAAACTTCTGTAGCCAGGAATAAATAGAAACTTCACTTGTGATTTTGGTCCAAAATAAGAAAATGATAGGTCTGGAGAGATGGCTCAGATGTTAAGAGCACTGGCTGCTCTTCCAGAGGTCCTGAGTTCAGTTCCCAGTACCGACACAGTGACTGACAACCATCTATAATAAGATCTGGTGCTTTCCTCTGGCCTACAGGTGTATATGAGGCAGAACATTGTATACATAATTAATAAATCTTTTTTTAAAAAAGGAAAGACTAAGTGAAAACCATGGTAGTCCTATTCTGGTTACACAGCTAGAATTTGGGCTTGTTTTATTATTAATAATATTGTTATTTGAAATGTAAGTGATCTCTTTCAGGGTGGAGTTGCAGGGTTGAGGAGGTGGTGAGTGTTGGAGTGGGTGCAGGGAGAGTTAGATAGAATTGGCAGTTTTAATCTGTTTGGACATTATTCATGTTTTGCCGTCCTGGATCTTCTGCAAAGCCTGCTGGGTTTTTTGGAGGGCTGGTCTATCAAGTTTCTTTCTGGTAATCAACTATGGAGCTGAATAGTTTGATCCTATTGCTTACCTATTTGACTTTTGAGACCAAGGTAAACTAACTCTCTGGGATTACTTTTTCTTCTGCTCAGTGTCTGCCAGGTGTCTATTATTTAGTTGGTTGGGAATAAAATGTTCAATAAGTTATTAATGAATTCTAGGCATGTAAGTGATGCTTCCATTTCAACCTTCAAAACCATCAGTCATTTGAGGTAGTTCTTTTTTTTTTTTTTTTTTTAAAGATTTCTTTATTATTTATACAGTATTCTGCTTGCATGTTTGCCAGCAGGCCAGAAGAGGGCACTAGATCTTATTATAGATTGTTATGAGCCACTGGAAATTGAACTCAGGATCTTTGGAAAACCAGCCAGTCTTTTTAACCTTTCAACCATCTCTCCAGCCCCCTTCAGATAGTTCTTATATAGTACTTAAGCACATGTAAAATAGTAGTTTATATGTAATTAGACATTCTTCGAACAACTTCTTACTCTTGATCTAGATCAGTTTTCATTCTTAATCAGTATTAATGGCTGGGAGAACACGTGTGTGCTAATGGTAGGGATAATTTGTATTTTATCACAGAGAGAGAGAGAATGCTTGATTTGATATGGTTACTTGAAACTTTTAAAACAATTTTTTTTTTTTTTTTTTTTTTAAATCTGACTCAGACTCCAGAAGGAAAGCAGAACCAGCCTTTGGAGGTCATGACCCACGAACAGCTGTTCAGCTTCGGAGCCTCAGTACAGTATTGAAACGCCTCAAGGAAATCATGGAAGGGAAAAGCCAGGTACTGTAGAGAGGCCATGGGAGATGCTTTATTAGACACTCAAGGAAATCACGTAATACCCACTGACAGTGGCATAATATCACTTAAATGAAAGTTTATTACTTTCTCTGGTTTTAGAGACCAGAGTTTCACACATAAATTCTTTATATATTTGTGTGTGTGTGTGTGTAGTCTGTTTCTTCCCCTTTGACCTTTTATATTTTGTTTCATTATTTATTACACCAAGGGTAGTACATATTCTCATCTGTGGTTTCTTCAATAGATTTTATTATATATGTTCATAAATAGGGTTGAGGTTTCCTTTTGTCCTCATAGATGTCTGGTTGGACCTAGGACATTGATTTTAGAAAGCCCTTTGTTCAGTGGTTGTGTTATAACTCATCCTAAGTTCATATACTTTTGCAAGTATGCCACTCTTTCCTGTACTATAATAGTTCCATGTTTTGTGTGTCCTGTACTCGTACTCTGTCTAAAGTTATTATAGCTTTAGCATAAGTTCTGATAGTGGGTGATATAAATCCAGCTTTTCTTCTTCAGTATTGTCTTGGTCATTTTAACCTTTTGCATTCCATCTGAACTTTAGAACTAGCTTGTCATCTGAAGAAGACACCTTCTAAGATTTCATTTGTCATTGCAACTTAATGCTCATTGTTTTTAAGAAGCCATCACACATTTTTGTTGTTGTAGGACAGTGACCTGAAGCAATATTGGATGCCAGATAGTCAATGTAAAGAGTGCTATGACTGCAGTGAAAAATTTACAACCTTTAGGCGCAGACACCATTGCAGACTGTGTGGGCAGATTTTCTGCAGTCGTTGTTGTAATCAAGAAATCCCTGGAAAATTTATGGGCTATACAGGTAAACATATTTCCTTGATAGTTATGTTTAAAAGTCAAATTGTGAAGTAGTTAAATAGAAGGCGATAGTAAGCCATTTTTTATTTTGGGCTTTATATCTAAGGTAGTGGAGGATAATAGTGAGAAAGAGAGACACAGCTTTGATTTTGAGAACTTTATGTTTCAGTAGTAGAAGAGGTAAGTATGTTTATAAATAACTAGAGTAAAAATATAGATATTATAAAAAATCTATAGTAGTATTAGAGATTATTAGATAAGATAAAATAAATTTTTAAAAATGTTTGTCATTTATTTTTATGTGTATGAATCATATCCATCTATACATACATCTCCATGTCAGAAGAGGGCATCAGATCATATTATAGATGGTTATGAGCCACCATGTGGTTGCTTGGAAGTGAACTCAGGACCTCTGGAAAAGCAGCCAGTGCTCTTAACCTCTAAGCCATCTCTCCAGCCTGATAAAGTAAATTTCTAATTTATGCTTCTATAGAGTTTTTTATTTGCAAAGTAAAGGTTACCTGGACTTACATGATGGTATACTTTGGCAAATTGTATTTTATTCATATTCTTTTGTTGGGAATGTAGTGAAATTGTAGTAATGGAGAAAGTTCAAGGATGTTGAACAATGCTGAGTAGATTTATGCAGTGATTTGGGAATGGAAAGTAGGGACTTTTTGTTTTGTTTTGTTTTTAAAATTTTTTTGAGATAGGGTTTCTTTGTGTAGCCTTGGCTGTCCTGGACTCAATTTGTAGACCAACCTGGCCTTCACCGCATAGAAATCCACCTGGATTATAGGCATGCGCCACTGCACCTGGCTTTGTTTTTTAACTAGTCTTAACCTTACATTACACTCTTACTGTCTTGGGCATACAAGTGTTGGTGTGCAGAGATGCAGCACCACCCGGGCAGCTTAAAATTTTATTTTCATAGTTACTTGTTTGTGGTACTGGGTAACCCAATGTCTTTTGCATTTAGGTATATCCAGCTCAAGACAACATGCTCAACATGTTTCTCATTGATTTTAGTTATTGTAAATATCTTCCTTATTTTTTATTTTTAATCCAAGGTGTGATAGAGTTCATAATCACATGATTTTCTACCCAGATTTTGACCATATCTTTTAAAATTATTTTTTAGCCAATAGCTGTTTACTATTCATTTTTCCCTATCTTGAATTCACTTTTATGCTCGAGTTAACATTCTTTGTAAGTGCTAGCTATCATACAGATGTATTACACTGATTTTTGCCTGTTCTCATGTGCAGGTCTCTTCCTTTACTCTTCTTATTCCCTTGCAGTCTGAGACACTTGAAATCTTAGCAAGCACCAAGGTCACAGAAAGTAGGTGGTTCCTCTTGGCCTTTTTTTTTTTTTTTCTTAATTTGTTTTATTTTTGGTATTGCTGGAAAATCAGACTCAGCGCCTTGTGCCCAGACGTAGCTGCACCCCTTAGCCAATTTGCACAGTTCATGAACTGGGAATTTGAATCTTTAAGCTCAACCTTTTTCCTAACTTTTGTTCTACATTTAGGAGCAACGAGCTCATCCCATACCTGCTGGTTTGACAGGAGATTTATCAAGTATTAACCCGAGCACTGTGAATATTCAAATAAGAATATCTAGAATTACTGTCTTATATGTCTGTATTGCCCTATTCCTTCTCTCAGTTTTCTTTTTAGTATTAGGAATACTAATGGTTTTATTTTTCTCTATTTTTTTCTTAAGGTTTATTTGTGTTTTATTTTATGTGTATTTTATACTCATAAGTATGTATGTGCACCAGTTGTGTGCCTAATGTTCACAGAAGTCAGAAGAGGGCATTGGATCCTCTGGGAGTGGAGTCACAGATGGTGCTAGGAATTGAACCTGGGTCCTTTTCAAGTGCTCTTGATGACTGAACCATCTCTCTAGCTCTTTTATTAATGATTGTAAATCGAATCTAATAAGAGAACCCATTTCAGAAATTTCAGAGCCAGTTCAGAAACCTTATCCCTAAAATATTGTGTCTATAAAACTGAATCTTGAACTGAATCTGTGTTTGTCAGGTGTCTCTGGGGAAGTGGAACCAGGGGGTGGGGTGACATTTTTTCCGTAGTCGACTCAAGTGCTTGTGCACTGGTAAGTGTGAAGTACCAGCTGTAATCAGCAGGGCAGAAACTAGGGTTTCCATCTTGTACTGTTGAGACAGAATTCCTTTTGCTTTTGGAACTTAATCTTTGTACTTGAGGCCTCAGCTGATTGGCTGAGAGTCCTTCTTTGGATGGTAATCTGATGTACTTAAAGCCATGTGTTAATAACACTGGAAAAACAACAAAGCCAAATGAGCTTCAGATACCCTGGTATTTGGCCAAAAGTTTCTTTAGTCAAATTAGATTAAGTCAAATTAATTTAGTCAAATTAAGATTAGCCCTTGCAGCTAATGGTGCACGCTGGTAATCCCAGCACTCAGGAAGCAGAGGCAGGTGGCTCTTGGTGAGTTCGAGGCCAGCCTGGTCTACAGAGTGAGCTCCAGGACAACCATGACTACACAAAGATACCCTGTCTTGAAAAAAAAAAGAAAAGAAAGAAAGAAACCCCAAAAAACAAAAAAAAGAATAGCCTTTGCAAATGGAAAATGTATGTTGGATACAGTTATAAACTTAGATCCTGGATAAATATAAAATACCTAGAATATTGATACATAGAAAAATCATTGAATTGCCCTGGTATGGTGGTACCTGCCTTTAAGCCCAGCACTAAAGATGCAGAGGTAGCCTGGTTTATGTAGTGAGACATTGTCTCACAAAATAGAAAGATCAGTGAATTTTATACAGAATCAATAAAAATTAAGCTGCTATCATTGGTGGTAATAGCTTTAATATCTGCTTTTATCATGTAGTTTTTAATTACATATGAGTCAGTTGCCTTCAGTGAACTATAAATTCTATAATGGCAAGGATATGTCTCATCAGTTTTTGTCTGCTGTTACACTATTCTAGCATGTGTTGCTGATGAACGAACATTTTGCATGGACTGAAAGCTTTTGTGGTGAGGCTTGTCCCCCCCCCCCCCTTTTTTTTTTCAAGACAGGATTCCTCTGTGTAGCCTTGGTGTCCTGCACTCGCTTTATAGAACAGGCTGGCCTTGAACTTACAGAGATTGTCTACCTCTGCCTCCCCCGTCTACCTCTGCCTCCCTGGGTACTGGGCTTACAGGCATGTGCCACTGCGCCTTCCTGGATGGCTCTGTTTCTTGGTTTGATAATTTTAGTTTTAATAGTTGAGTGGTTTAGGGAGTTTATCCTTTATAGTCTAACCTAACCTTTGCTGTGGTAAAAATTGAAGGTCTTTCTGCAGATAATAATTTCACTTCCTTAATGTATTTGAGTTTTGGTCAGTGGTAGTGGTTATCATAGCACTTTTCTTTAACCAAGACTGAAGTTCATTTTGTTTTGTTACTGTTGACTGAGTCCTGATTGAAATGGATATATTTTTTGCTATTGAGTTTTAATATATCTCATCTGCTAAATTGTAATGTTAGAAATTAGTAAACTAGTGACATTTTGCTTTGTTATACACATACACACACACACACACACATATATGTATATATACACACATACACTTTGATAAAACAGAATTATATAATAATAATCTTAAAATGAGACAATAAAAAGTAGTTTAGTATACTTGGTAGCAATTTATGTAAAAACAGTATATTGATCTTTTAGAAAAATTTGTATCACTTAGATTTTTAATATTGATAAAGTATAATTGAGGTAGAATTATTAAATAACATTTACTGAACAGTTAAAGTTAAGTATAGTCTTGCTACATGGTAGTCTTAAGTTCTGAGAAATGTCTCTAGGAACTTTTGTCCTTGGGTGAACATCATAGAGTATGCTCAGGATTAACTAGATAGTAAGTTGCCTCCAGTGAACTATAAATTCCGTAATAATGGTCTTCTCATTATTAGAACTAAAATTATCAAGTTAAGAAGTAGCCAGGCCTGACCACAAAGCTTTCATTCATTGAAGATTATCCATTAGACATGTCTTTTCCTCCTGGTTTTTGAACCCCAGTGTCATACCTCCTAGGCTAGTTCTGAAGGCCTCATCAGCTTGCTAGGCCTTATTTCCTGCCTCCATGTGCCAGGTGTGTGCCACCATGTGCATTTTCTCTTTTGTTTAAGGTGGTTGTCACTATATGGCCCAGGCTGTGCTGAGTGGTCTTCTGAATACCAACATGGCCCCTGAAAAATAGTAAACTCTTTTTTTATTAAGTAGAAAAAAAAGATAAAAAATAGAACATAGTAAAGATAGAAACTAGTAACATAGTTGTTTACATCAAGTGTTATTTATGTTCATGTATCAATTTTTATTATTATGTGCCTTATGGTTTCATGACTTACAGGTCAATAAGTTTATTTAAATCAGCAAAAATGGGAATAATATGCCACTCTATAATATTATGATGACTGTTGCACCAGGCAATAAGAAGTTTTTAGCTCCAGTATAATCTTAATGGTGTGGCTTGTTGTTAATTGAAATGTCATGTGGTACTTGGTGTATTTTGCCTCTTAGCACACCAAATTGCTATGGAGATACACCTAACTATTTTGTAAAAATAGGGTAGAAATGAAACTTATTTTGGGACAGGACTGTGACCTAAAAAATAGGTTTAGAAGTATTAAGAAACTCTGTTTGTCCTCCTAGGAACTATTTCTGTGTTGATACAGATTGAAGTCAGGGCTTCATACATTCTAGGCAAGCACTTTGACACTGAGCCACACTCTTAGCTAGAACATTACATTTCTATTTCACTATGAAAATTTCTTTTATTTTTATTTCTGTATATCATTGAATGTAAGACCATTTTTTCATTAGTTTTAAAACTGTGCGCTAATGAAGGAACTTGTACAAGACCCTGTGCCTAGATGAAGAGCTATGTGGTTGTTGAGAGACAGGGGACTAGTTTTCTTCATGGACAGACCCCTTGATAGGCTATCTAATCCCAATCAGTTGGACTTAAACACACATGAGCAACACCGAATACATCCAACTTTATTTTTTGAGTGTGTCTGTAACAATAGTTGAAGAGCTCATGAATTTGAGAGAGTTGGGGGATGTGGGATAAGCTGAAGTGGGAAGAGGGAGGAGTGGAAATGATGTAAATACAGTACTCATCTATGAAGTTCTTGAGAGTTTTTTTAAATTAGAAAATGTGTACTATTCTAGAGACCATTTGTATTCTGGAGACCATTCTTCAGGCTTCATGATGGAGATATTAATATTATTTTCTCCTTACTTGTTGCCTAGGGAAAGCAAGTCATTTCTGTTGTGTTGGTTATTTACTAAATTGAAACTTTTTTCATTGAAAGAAGGAATAAGTGTTAATGAAAAATACGGTCTATTTTATTTTGCTTTCTACCTGTGATAGATCTCTCACTGCATGAATACAGTTTTGAAAAAATATCCTTACAGCCATGACTTTCTGTTACTAATATTGGGTCAAGTTTTCTTACCTGTTACAGATATTTGGATGCTTGGATGAATTTATTGTAATAATAATCTAACATGTACAGCAGAGCTAGACAAGTATCTCTTATTTAAAATGTCTTTCGGAGGTCTTTACTTGAAGACACTTCCTTTTATTAAAGTACGTATTAACACAAAGATTTAAAATATTTTATTAAGTAATATGTCGCTGATACCTTTCCTTATATTTTTTTCATAGGAGACCTCCGAGCGTGCACATACTGTAGAAAAATAGCCTTAAGTTATGCTCATTCCACAGACAGTAATTCCATTGGGGAAGACTTGAATGCTCTTTCAGATTCAACTTGCTCTGTGTCTATACTTGATCCAAGTGAACCTCGGACACCTGTTGGGAGTAGAAAAGCCAGTCGTAACATATTCTTAGAGGATGATTTAGCCTGGCAGAGGTACTGTCACTTGAATATAATTTGATTTAAACCTGAGAAATGCTTAGTCCTGTGACCTTATTTTTCATTAACATTTATGTCTTTTTGTTATCTGCAAATTTACTATCTTACCCAGTTCATATACAGAAGGATCATTATTGTTTATGGATAGTAATTATATTAAGATTCAGATACAAGTGCACGAGAGGAGAGTTTTTTTTACCTTTATTATATGCTATTCTATTAAAACTAAGAATGAATGCATGGCATGTGTATGATCCTTGCAGAATTTGTTGAATGGACAAGAGAAGTCATTGATATGAAATAATTCCTAGTATAGTCTTCTTTAAGAAATCAGAGTGCTCCTAAGATCTCGATTTGTTTCCAAATTCAGTTACTTTTTTTTTGTTGTTGTTGTTGTTGTATAGGAGTATTTGATGTGTTTATAGCTGAAGATGCTTTGCTGACAGATGTAGATACACATACTTCTTTGGAAGTTACCTAGAATTATTTATGTTGGGATGTTAGGCTCATTAGGTTCTTATATTTTCTTTAGTGGGATAATCTTATTTTATATGTATGTATGTATGTATGTTTATTTGTTTGTTTATTTATTTTTTTGTTTTTTTGAGACAGGGTTTCTCTGTGTAGCCTTGGCTGTCCTGGACTCACTTTGTAGATCAGGCTGGCCTGGAACTCACAGAGATCCGCCTGCCTCTGCCTCCAGAAGTGCTGGGATTACAGGCCTGTGCCACTGTGCCTCGCCTTAGTTACTTCTTTTTTTTTTTTTTTTTATAAACAAATCAATATTTAATTTCCATTATTGACACACATAACACAACCAATGACAATTTATTATATGTATACATATATCTTTTTACACAGCTTTTTAATAGCCCATTCATATGGACATTTAAATATTTTGATATGTGTATAAACATGAGTTCATTTTACAGAACCAATTTTCTGAAGATTGCTTCCCACATACAAAAAAGATAGCACATATCTGGCACTGGAACAATATTACTTTTATTTTATGTTTTAAAATCAACTCTTCAACCTACCTAAAATATTTTGTATAAGTATAGAAGTAGAAACATTGACTTTTCAATTACTTCTACCGTGGAAATTTGGCTTCAAGACATTTCAGCATTTAATTTTGCTACATTTCACTTTTTAATCACATATTGAACCATAGATTTAATTATGCTACCTACCCATTGTCATTTAATAGTAATTCAATGAAACATTGATTAGCTATAATAATATAGACACATAAAAATACTTGTAGTTGGGAACCTATATTCTAACTGGGATTTAGGGAACAGGCTTAAGTAAATCATGTACTATAAGGAGGGAATCAACCTAAAACTCAATTAGAGTAATAACACATTTTCAGGCCAAAGAGTTCCTGTTTCAGGAATCTTTCTTTCTTTTTTTTTTTTTTTTGTATTTTATTTTTTTCTTATCAGTTACATTTTATAACTCTGTACCCCAGCCGTGTCCCGATCCCTCATTCCCTCCCAGTCCCTCCCTCCCTCCCTCCTCTCCACCGTGCCCCTTGCCAAGTCCACTGATAGGGGGGACCTCCTCCCCATTCATCTGATCCTGTTTTATCAGGTATCTTCAGGACTGGCTGCAAAGCTCTCCTCTGTGGCCTAACAGGACTGCTCCTCCCTTGGGGGGTGGGGAGGCCAAAAAGCCAGTCATTGAGTTCCTGTTAGAAATAGTCCTTGTTCCCCTCACTATGGGAAACCAATTGGTTACTGAGCTACCACAGGCTACATCTGAGCAGAGATTCTAGGTTACAGTCATGCATGGTCCTTGGTTGCATGTCAGTCTCAGAAAAGACCCTGTGCCCAGATATCTTTGGTCCTAGATCCAGAAATAAACCCACACACCTATGAATACTCGATATTTGACAAAGAAGCCAAAACCATTCAATGGAAAAAAGACAGCATCTTCAACAAATGGTGCTGGTCCAACTGGATGTCCACATGCAGAAAAATGAAAATAGATCCATATTTATCACCCTGCACAAAACTAAAGTCCAAGTGGATCAAAGACCTCAACATAAAACCAGATACTCTAAATCTGTTAGAAGAAAAAGTGGGGAACAGCCTAGAACTCCTTGGCACAGGAGACAACTTCCTGAACAGAACGCCTTAGTTACTTCTTAACAAAGAGAAGAATTAGTATATTACATATGTAAAAAGAAAGAACGAATTATAACTACATTGAGCGTATGTGAGCCCGGGGATATAGTAGAAAAGAAAGTTACAAATCATTTATGCACTAAGAGTCTAGTTACATAATGTTCAGAAATATATGAATGAAGGTAATGCTCAGGGATACAAATGGTGTAATTATTAGTTACTTGTCTTGTTGATATAACAAAATGCCTAACAGAAGCAGCTTATAGAAGAAAGGACTTATTTTGGCATACAGTTTAGGGAATATGGTCCATCGTGGCAGAGGAGGTATGGCAGGAGGAAGAGGTGGCTTAGTCACCTTGTGTTCACAGGCAAAAAACACCAGAGAGAGCTCTGAATGCCTGTGCTCAGTTTCATTTCCCCCTTTTCTTCAGTATGGCACCCCAGCGTATGAGGCAGCACTGTGCAGATTTACATGGTCTTTCCACCTCAATAAACCTGCTCTAGGTAATCCTGCCCAGACATGCCTGGAGGTTGTTTCAGTGGTGATTGTCAAGTAGGATTAATCGTAACGGTGATAAGCATAAAATTTATAATAATGGTTTCCTTGGGATTAGGAAAAGTGGTGGTACTGGGTAGGGGAATACAGACACTTCAAAATAGTGGTAGTTGATTTTTTAAAAGTTGTTTGATAGGTCTTTTGATGTTCGTAGCATCGTAGTTATACCTTACATTTTATTAACTTAATTGATTCTGTATTTACTAAAATAATATGAAGGTTAGAATTTTCATCTTTTGATTATTTTAATTAGTAATGCTTTTTTATTTGTGTGTGGTCCAGTTGTCTAAATTCAGAATTGACAAGTATGACTTATTAAAACATGAGAGACAGAAGATGGGCCTCAGAGATGGAGTATTAGTTGAGTTATAGGCTCTTTGTTAACAGTTTCATAATCTATTACCTTTAAGTCATCACATTTTTGGTAGGGAATACTTTCTGTTTTTGACAGATGTGGGTGCAGAAGTTCAGAAAGATTAAGTAGTGAACCTGAGGTCATGCAGCTAGTAAGAGATAGAGCTGTGCTTGGACCCTAGTGTCTCTGACTGTTTGCTGCTCTTTTTGTGGGTTGTGGGGACTGAGAATTTTGGAGCTAAGATTTTTTTTTTTTTTAAACTCAAATTACTTTTATCTTGTATATCATAAAATGGAAACAAGTTTTACAAATCACCTATCCAACCAAAATTGGTGTTTTATTGACATTCAGTACACTTAAAAAATATACTGGAGATGAAACTGCTTTTATTTATTTAGTCTTCCTTTTCTTTTTCTTTTTCTTTTTCTTTTTCTCCTTCCTTCCTTCCTTCTTTCCTTCTTTCCTTCCTTCCTTCCTTCCTTCCTTCCTTCCTTCCTTCCTTCCTTCCTTTCTTCCTTCCTTCCTTCCTTCCTTCCTTCCTTCCTTTTTTTTTTTTTTGTTTTGTTTTGAGACAGGGTAGTCCTGGCTGCCCTGGAATTCACTCTGTAGACCAGGATGGCCTTGAACCCACTGAGATTCACCTGTGTTTGCCTCCTTAGTGCTGGGATTAAAGGTGTGCACCACTACCACCACACAGGAAAACTGTAATTTTTTTCTTCAAATAAAGTAAGGACAAAAATGAACTGTTGTAGGGAAAAATACTTAAATTTGCTTTTAAATGTTAAAGCACTTATTGTAGCTCCAAATGATCGCAGTATTTTAATTTTCTTTATAGTTTGATTCATCCAGACTCTTCAAATAGTGCTCTTTCAACAAGACTTGTATCTGTACAAGAGGATGCTGGGAAGTCTCCTGCTCGAAACAGGTAAACTACAAATAAAAAACCTACTCTGTCTGACTTTTATTTATGTCTATAGTAACGAGAACAGATAAACAAAATGGTGAGATTGCTTCTAAGCTCTGTTAGGCTATCTTTTCTTTTTTTTGGTAGTTGTTTCATTCTTTGGTAGCTCTTTCAGATATTGAAGCCTATATTCTGTGTTCTAGCCTAAAGGAAGTGAGAAAATGAGACATGAAGCCTCTGTGAAAATGTGTACCAAGAAAACAGAATAGCATATTATCAAGAGGGTGTATGCCAGGCTAGGACTATAAGAAGTCCTGTGTGCTACAGTAGAGTGTCTCAGAAGAATGAGTGGTCAGGATGTTTTAGTCTAGTCTCAGATGAGCAGCTATTAGAATTAGAAAATTTTAATTGTTTTGTAAAACTTAAAAGATTGTAAAAACCAAAAATTCAAGAATAGAGAAATAAATACCTGTATGTTCTCCATTAAGACATACTTACTTACATTTTGCCTGTTTATTTTGACACATTTTATATGATATACACTTTAAAAACTTATTCAAGAGTGATGTCATTATTTTCTTCTTTTTTTTAAGTTAATGGATAAAAAAATTCATTTGTTTTTGAGACAGGATCTTGCTGGCCTGAAACTCACTGTGTAGCCCAGGCTGGCTTCATAACTCTGCTGTCTGAGCTTCCCAACAGCTGGGCTTGTAAGCATGAACTACTACACCCAGTGGATAATTTCTTTTTATTTTACTAGCAGTTTTGGCTTTACAGTAAAAGTGAGCAGAAACTTGGAATGACAACATGCATATAGAAACAATGATGTCTTTCAGTTAGTAATGTGCACTTAATTTTTCTCAGTATCTTTTCATGGCTTACTATTTATTTCTCTGTATTGCTAGGCAATATTCCATTTTGTAATGTGGCATAGTTTTTTTTTTTTTTTTTTTTTCCTTCCTTTTTGGTTTTTTGAGACAGGGCTTCTCTGTGTAGCCTTGGCTGTCCTGGACTCACTTTGTAGACCAGGCCGGCCTGGGACTCGCAGTGATCCACCTGCCTCTGCCTCCCTGAATGCTGGGATTAACGGTGTGCACTACCATGCCTGGCTGATAGATGTGCCACATAGCATATATGACTTCACCTTCTGAAAGACTTCTTGGTTGACTTCCACAGTTTGGCAATTATATAGATGCCTGTGAACATCTGTGTACAAATTTTTTTTTAATTTTATTTTTTATTTTTTAGGGAGTGGGAGGTTACAGAGTCTCACTGTCTTGCTCGTTTCATCCCGGAACTCAACCACCTGTTCTGGCCTCCTCAGTTCTGTGTAATTTTATTATGTGTAGGTGCAATTTTAAGTTCATTTGTGCAAATACCAAGAAGTATGATTGTGGGATCATACGGAAAGAGCATGTATAATTTTGTAAAAAATTACCAAACTGTGTTCCAAAGTGGCAATGACTTTTTGCATTCCACAGGTAGTACACAGGAGTTCCTTTTCTTCCACACCATTGCCAGCATTGGTGTAGCCAGTGTTTTGTAATAGGCATATAGTGGTGTCTCATCATTGTTTAAAGTTGCCATTTCCTTATTTGAATTGAACATCTTTTCATTTGCTTATTTATCATTTGCTTTCTCTTTCTTTGCAAAGGAGTCTGCTGAAGTCCACATTGCTCATTTTGTAATCACATTGTTCATTTAAAAAAAAGATTTTATTTATTTATTTTATGCATATGAGTGTTCTGTCTGCATGTATATCTGGATGCCAGAAGACGGCACTAGGGGATAATAGATGGTCGTGAGCCCCATGGGGTTTCTGAAAATTGAACTCAGGACCTCTGAAAGAGCAAACAATGCTTTTAATTGCTGAGCTACCTTTCATCTTTTCATTGTTGAGTTGTAAAGTTTCTTTTAAATTTATTTTTAATAAGAATTCTTTATCAAATATGTCATTTGCAAATATTCTTTCCTGGTGGCTTGTCTTTTCTTTTTCTTTCTTTTTTTTTTTTTTTTTTTGACATTGTTTGCAGAGCAAAGTATTTAATTTTACTTGGATTGTGCCTTTGGTGTTATGTCTAAAGAGCTATCACTAATCCAAGGCAATCTAGGTTTTCTCTTGTGTTATCTTCTAGGTGCATTTTTAATCTTGTGTTTTACATTTTGGTTTGTGATCTATTTAAAGTTACTATTATTATTGTGAAGGGCATAAGATCTCTGCTTACCCATCTATCTATCTATCTATCTATCTATCTATCTATCTATCTATCTATCTATCTATCTATCCATTTATTTATTTATTTACTTACATACCTATCTACTTATTTATTCATTTATTTATTTATCCATCTATCTATTTATCCATCTATCTATTTATCTATCTATCTATCTATCTATCTATCTATCTATCTATCTATCTAT